ATATATATATATATATATCTCCCCCTCTTTCAAGGCAGGTCGCAGAGAGTCCCCAGAAGTTCGTGCTGCTGACCGTGCCTTTCAGCGTAGAGCACCGATCTCCCCCAACTCTTTTGTAATGTCCTCAAATAACTTAACCCAATAGTCATCTGCTGCCAGTATATCACTGAAACTAAATAGAAAAAAAAAATACTTTACAGAAAAGATGTATGCACAATAAACGTTTATACTTTAAGCAACCAGCCATACCAACATAATTTATATAAAAAAACCCCATTTGTGTCACCCAACTAACGTCTAGTATAAAGATGGCTGCTCAGAGAAAAGGAAGCTGACTGGCATCCGATCGCTGATACACTGAATTAATTACCTGTCACTTTGAACTGCCGTCACGCAGTCACGCGCCGTTGCAGACGCGGGACTCAAGGTTTATTTATTTTTTTTTTTTCTTTAAACAAAATACATATGGCTGACGTAAAAATATCAGTTTCTGATCTAAAGAAAACTATATTTTTTGCATAATATTTATATATAATTATATCTCCCCCTCCTAATATGGCAACTAGAACAACAAAAATATATCAACTAAAAGAACAACCAGACCCTTGTGGCAACCTGCCAGTCACAGATTTCTGGGAGTGACTTTGAGAGCCTCCAAAGTTGGCTTTTTGTTGGTTTAAGTCTTTTCCTTTTTTTTTTTAAAACAGGTCTGAGGTATTAAAAAAATATCAAAAGAAAAAAAATCGGTGTGTGTCCCCCCCAAAGTATTTAATAAATATTTATGTAAGCTTGTAAGAACACCGTATTTTCATACTTTTTTTTTTTTTCTTTTTGCAAGTATTTAAAATAGAAAAAGTGATCTTTTAAGCAATGTCACCTTCAGCACAGAACCAAACCCCACAACCACCCCTTTTGTCTTTCCTGTCACCACTTGTGTAACCCAGGAAAACACCCCCCCCACCCCCCGGTCCTGCCCAAGGTATTTTTTCAGCTCGTGCGAAGAAGGAACGGGGAGGGCAGCGATGGGTTCGTCTGCAGGGGCGGGGGGCTTGACACTGAATTTGCAATTGGGATGGGCAGTGGTGGCAATTTCTTCTTGCTGTTGGCAGTGTACGGAGCCCAGCCTTCACCCCCTTTGCCAGCACCGAGGCAGGAGGCCTGGGAGAAGGACCTTTCCTCAGCTACCTGGGGCAGGAATGGGGTGACCTCGTCCTTCCCTCCTCCCACCCCAAGGAAGGGACGAATTGGTGCCGGGCTGGAAACAAAACAAAGACACTTGGTTCGTGTTGTCGTTTAAGGAACACTTATTTCTTGGCAAAGTACTGGGCCCTCGCGTGGCAGGCGGTGCTGCAGGCAGTGCTCGGAGAAGGCACGGGAGATTCTGCTGTGCGTTCTTAAAGGAAAGAAAAGAAGAAACCAGCCAGCCCACCCTCTCGCTAAAACCTCTCTGCTTCTAGGGATGGAGGCTGGGCAAAGACGATGACGTTGTACAGCCAGTTACAACCAGGTTCTCTCTGCTTCCAACCAAGCCCAACAGGACAAAGGAGAGAAGGCAGCAAAGCTTCCTCCAGCCCTGCCTGCCTGGGGCCAGTAACCAAGGGTGCACCAGCAAGAGCCCACGGGGGAGAAACTTAAGCCCAAGCAAAGCAAACTCCTGCCTCCTGCTCAGTCCCACGGCTTCACAGGAGGGTCGGTTCCAAGCCAACTTGCCCAGGACACCTGGGGCCTCTGCTCCAAAAAAAACCAGGACTCTCACCAAATGGTTACAAGAGACCGAGGTGAGGCAGGACGCAAGGGGAAGAGATGACCTTCAAAAAAGCAGCAAGTGAGGCGAAGCCTCCACGCAGCACCTTCTCTGGAAGACCTGCAGCCAACCAACCAACCTGCCACCTCCGCGAGCAATTGCCTCCACTGGCAAATCAGCTACAGAAGTGCTATGGAAATCAAGGGTCCTCCATCAGCCACGGAGCCTCCTTCCCTCCCTTCCACCAGCTAAAGAGACAACCTGACTCATCCCTTCCATGGTCTAGCAGTTGACCCACTGTACTGTCAATAACCCGACGCTTGTTCTCCGTTCAGCCTGCTAATGCTTTGGCAGCGATGCACAGAGCTGGTGGGCATGGCTGGAGCATCCTCTGAGGTTCCTCAGCAGTTAACTGGGAGCTTGTACTCCAAGGCTGAAGGATTATTATTTAACCCAACTACACACAAGCTAGAATGGGCAGAAGTCCCTCTGCTCTTGATGGCAGGAGCCGTTAAACCTTTGCAAGGCTCTCGCCAAAAGTTTCACAGCTGTTCAAGAGCAGAAGAGATGCATCTCTTAAGACTCTCCAGGAAGGAGCCCCATTTCTCACAACCATGGGGTTTTTCTTCACCATCTTTCCACTGCCAGTTCACCTCCACCTTGCTTTGTGGAAAACCCAGGATCTTTTACATCCAGCAAGGTTACAGCCCAGTCACCTTTGTTCCTTGTCTACCAATTACTGCTTTGGAAACAGAGAGAGAAAAGTGTGTGTGCACACACAGAGGAGGAACTGTAAAGGCTAGGTACCATTTTTCAAGGTGGAAGACTGGTGTACATCCCTGTATCTATCAACCTGTGAGTAAACACCTTTCCCCTGGCTGGGGTGTTTTTTTTTTTTTTTGTTTTATTTTTAAATTTTCGCACTAGAGTGCTAACTCCCCCACTTCCCACTGTGAAGTTACTGGGAGCAAATCCCACAAGCAAAGAACAAACCCCAACATTAGAAGAAAACCCTAAAAACCACAAGTGGGAAAAAAAAAAAAAGTCACAAGTGCACCCCAGCCCTCAGGCTGAGAGCGTGCATGTAAGACTACAACAATTTGAACTTCCTTTGAACATGCATTTTTCAAAGTGAAAACCCCCCAACAGACGCATGGAGCCCAACTCTCGGAGAGGAAATAACCTGGCTGCTTCACTTGGGTGAGTACCACTGAAAATTAGGGATGGAGATGCACGATTTTGGCTTAGCCTCTCTCCCAACACCCAGCATCGTGGTACTCTGGTTCCCACTGCTAAATAATGGTTAAAAATAAAATTAAAAAAAAAACAACCCACAAACAAAATAAAACAAAAAACCCCCAAAACAAAACACCAAAATGATATACGTATGAGCAGTTTGACACGAAGTGACCGCAGTGTGTGATCAGTTACTGGTGCCAACATCACACAGGGCGAGGGGCGAAGGTGGAGGAGGAGGGGGGGTTTGAAGTTCTAAGGTCAAACTGATGTCTCCAAGCTGTGTAAGGGGCTTTCGGGCTCCGGGACGGTGACCTCAGCTTGATCGCTGTCCACTGCATTGTTATTTCTGTTGAGGGATGTAGATCCACCCAGGCTACCCCCACCTCGCTTTTTGAGTCCGTCAGTCTCGGGGTCGTCTTCAGCGCCGTCAAGGAATGGTGTTCGAGGCTCATCTTCCTCCAGGATGAACTCTGGGTGAGTCATGAAGTTATGGATGGAGCTTCTGGATTCGGGTTTCTCGAGGCCTTCGTACAAGGAGCTACGGAACGCATTCACCACTTTGATCTGCCGGGAGGCGACGAGCGTGGGGGATAAACAAAAGAGGGGTTAGTAGCTGCTACGAGAGGTCAGAGCTCCCAGGAGAAAGTAAAAGTAAATAATAAAGACACAATAAAACAAAAAGCACAACAACAACAACGACAGTCACCACCACTGAACAGACAGCTAAGTCAAAATGAGAGGTCTATGGTGAACTAGGAGGGCCAACATGGATCAGACTCAGGCACTAGGTGTGTGATAGGGAATCAACCGACTATGGGGCGACTTCAGAAGCTGCAAGAAAAGACACAAAAAAAAAACCACCCTCAAAAAAAACAAATCACTTTGGATGAACGGAAGCCAAAATGCATTAGTTGTCATGATGTGTGCGCACGCGTATCTGTGTGTATAAACGAGGACAAAAAAGTGGAACTACAACTCAAAAAAGAGGTGGGTTAGACAAACAGCGGGTTCAGTTTCAAGGCAAAAATCTCTACTGTGGGAGCGATGCGGGTGTTTGTCCTATTTCATTTTTAGACCTATAGAAAGGAATGGGCTTTAAAAAGGTGTCACGAACTTTTCAAGCCCATGTGAAGCAGTAGGTCCAAGTGGATGCCATGACCAGTAAAACCAGACCCAGCCAAACATGCATGAAGGAAGCCAGATCCATGTGAGTTCCCCCACACGGCTGCCCCCTGGATCCCAAGCTGGAACTCTGGATCC